GTGTACAATTCAACGTTTTTTAGTACACTAACAGGGTTATGCAAATATCACCACTCTACTTTTAGGACACTTTTGTCTCCCCCAAAAGAAGCTTGGTAACCATTAGCCGTCACTCCCCATCCCTGCCCCTGCACCTCTCCTAGTCCTAAACGACCATTAATATACTTTATCTTCATAGATTTGTCTCTTCTTGGACATTTCACATAGATGAATCGTATAATATGTCATCTTTTGTGTCTGGCTTCTTTCACTTTGCATAATGTTTTTGAGGGTCATCCATGTTGTACCTTGTATCAGTACTTAATTCTTTTTTATTACTAAATAGTATTCCATTGTATGAGTATAGTGCATTTTATTTATTCAATCATCTGTCACTATTTAATATGCTTCTTGTATTTGTTCAGATTGCCTGGGATTCAATCCCCACTGGACAAGTTCCTAGATGAGTGACCTTGGGTAAATTATAATCTTTCCAGGCCTGCCTCGTTTCTCCAGTTGTAAAAAGTGACTAATAATGGAATCTACCTCCTAGAGTGTCATGGTTGTAGTGTCATTTGTTGAGCAACTTACCATATGCCAGGCACTTTATAAGTACTACCTAACATACCTGTGCTTTATAAATTAGGGAACAGAGGTTAGGAGAAGTTGAGTAATCTCCCCAAGGTCAAACAGCCTCTAAAAAAGTGANCAGTCTATGACTTAAAAAAAATTAACAATTGCTTCAGGACAATCACCAATCTATCAGAAAAATACGTGGATGAGCAGGTACCCAGACAGGTGTCATTTGAAAGTGAGTCCCACCCTGCTCCCCACACTAAGTCACACTTGAGACATTTCATCATGGGGCCCCAAGAGGCACTAGCGTCGCTTCCTCAGAAGCCAATCCTGGAAGCCTGGGCTCCTCCCCCACCCAGTTCAAACACCCTGGCTTTGGGACGCCTCTCCACCTTATTAGTCATCCCCCTCTGCTCCACTGCGTCCAATGTACTGTGTCACTACGTCCGGAGCTGGTTTCACAACTAGGCTGTCAACTAGCCAGGGCAGAGGATGGATGTTATTCACATTTGTATCAGATTTGTTGAGTGAACATGTTTGTTGAGTGAATAACACAATGAGCATCTTTAGCACTTCTTTGTGGGGCTCACTGTTGTCAAGGGACACACAGGGAACTCTCCACACAGATCAGGTCAGTTGGGCCCAGGGTGGGATTATATTTACTTGTTGACTTTTAAAGCAAATTAGTTGTTTTTTTAAAAAAAATATTTTTGTAACTTAAAAATGTTAATTGAAGAAAAGTTTAAATACAGAATGTGTAAAGTTAAATGTCAAAAATCCCTCTCACTTTTCTTCCAATTCACTCCCAGAGGCAACCACCAGTAAACAATTTTTAAGAGCTTTATTGACATATCATACAATTCACCCATTTAAAGTGTACAATTCAATGTTTTTTCGTACACTAACAGGGTTGTGCAAATATCACCACTCTTTTAGGACACTTTTGTCTCCCCCAAAAGAAGCTTGGTAACCATTAGCCGTCACTCCCCATCCCTGCCCCTGCACCTCTCCTAGTTCTAAGCGACCATTAATATACTTTGTCTTCATAGATTTGTCTCTTCATGGACATTTCACATAGATGAATCATATAATATGTCATCTTTTGTGTCTGGCTTCTTTCACTTTGCATAATGTTTTTGAGGGTCATCCATGTTGTACCTTGTATCAGTACTTTATTCTTTTTTATTACTAAATAGTATTCCATTGTATGAGTATAGGGCATTTAATTTATTCAATCATCTGTCACTATTTAATATGCTTCTTGTATTTGTTCAGATTGCCTGGGGTTCAATCCCCACTGGACAAGTTCCTAGATGAGTGACCTTGGGTAAATTATAATCTTTCCAGGCCTGCCTCGTTTTTCCAGTTGTAAAAAGTGACTAATAATGGAATCTACCTCCTAGAGTGTCATGGTTGTAGTGTCATTTGTTGAGCAACTTACCATGTGCCAGGCACTTTATAAGTACTACCTAACATACCTGTGCTTTATAAATTAGAGAACAGAGGTTAGGAGAAGTTGAGTAATCTCCCCAAGGTCAAACAGCCTCTAAAAAAGTGATGGAGGTAAACAGATCACAGGCTGTCTGACTGCAAAAGCTTGCACCATTAACTGTTAATATCATGGAATAACAAAGTGCTTAACCTTGCAAAAACGGTCTTTAGCCTTGCAAAAAAGAACAAGTTTAGTAAATCACTGACAGAACATGTAAATATAAAAAAGCAGAAAAAAGCCAAAAATTGACTCATCATCCAAAGACACCTGCTACTGTTAATATTTTGGCATAGTTCCTTCCAGTCTTCGAAGATAATATACATCACCTCCCCCTCAGCGCTGTTCATTTGTTGTTGTTGTTGTTTTGGCAGCTGGGGACTGAACCCTGGACCTTGGTGTTAACAGCACCAGCTCTAACTAACTAAGCTACCCGGTCAGCCCAGTCCTGTTTTTTAAAAGGCATAAAATGTAGTAAATCAGGTAGTTCTACCTCCAATACCCTTAGGTATTTCTTTTCCTCTGCATTTTTTTTTTTTTTTTTTTTTTTTNTATTTATTCAATCATCTGTCACTATTTAATATGCTTCTTGTATTTGTTCAGATTGCCTGGGATTCAATCCCCACTGGACAAGTTCCTAGATGAGTGACCTTGGGTAAATTATAATCTTTCCAGGCCTGCCTCGTTTCTCCAGTTGTAAAAAGTGACTAATAATGGAATCTACCTCCTAGAGTGTCATGGTTGTAGTGTCATTTGTTGAGCAACTTACCATATGCCAGGCACTTTATAAGTACTACCTAACATACCTGTGCTTTATAAATTAGGAGCCGTAGTGTATGTAATATCCATTCTCCCAGCAGGGGGCACTCTCACCATTAGAAGTACAGATGGGAAACGTTTCAAAAAACTATCCTACCAGTTCATGTATTTATTCATTCACCAAAATATCATCAAGTTCCTACCAACTGCCCGACTCTATGTCATTTCCTAGGGACATAGTAGGGAGGTCTTTGTTCTCATGGAATGTAGAATCTGGTATCTGATTTTTGGCCACCTCCACTAGAAATAATCATTGTTTTCTAAGTAAAAGCTGTTGTTACTGTTAAAGAATTCAATGATACTTGTTAAAGCATGGTAAGGCAGACTTTTTTCAGGACCATCATGATCGGTAGAGGGACCACTGCAACAGGGTCTTGCAGTGGGAGAGAGAGATTGGGCTCAACTCTGAATACAGCATGGGCAAGTGGAAATTTATAGCCAAGGAGCAGGGTGGGCGTAAGTGGATAGAAAAATCACCAAGAAACATCAGGGGTAAGGGGGATTCCAGCTAAACTGATCTAACAGGATTCTTGCCGAAGACAGGCCAGGATGATCAGACATCACGGGGAACCTGATCAGCTATCAAAGATGGGGGGCTCTGGCTGAACTGACTTAGCAGGCATCTTTGCTAAAATAGGATTTTATAAGGAGATAGAGATGAGCCTACGAGAAGATTCAGAAGCCTGACTAAAGTTTGTTCAAGACTTATTCATTGGGGACATCCATTTGTGGAGGTGATGATTTTGGTTGCTGGGAAAGTAAGTACTTTGGAAAAGGCTTTGATTATGTATTACAATTGGCTCTGTTCTTCTCTGTACTATGAGAAATGTTCTTCCTGCAACTAGAATAGAAATTGCCTCTGTTCTTTTGACAGCCTCTCCTGAGATCCAACCGATGCTGGACTAAGAGAAGAAAATGACTAATCTAGAGGTAGAAGCTTCCTGTGACAACAATTTCAAATTTCTAGGCTTAGTATCTATTATTCTAATGAGGAAATAGAAACAACATTCAACATGCAGAGACTAAAAACATCATCTAGTGCAATGGTGTTATGAGAAGCAATTAAAAAAATCAGAATTTTTCAGGTGACATTTTTGTTTTCCTTCCAAATGAAAATGACATTATTGTGTCCTATGGGGGAAATCATTCTTATGACTTGGATTATCCATTCTAGTAAATTTCAAAATGTGAATGAGAAGATTGGTACTGTTCCATGAACCACTAAACATTAACATCTGGACATATTCAAGAGTTAAACCATAGTGGGAGCTTCCAATCTTTCCTCTTAACAGTTAAGGCCGTATGAAACTCAAGGGCCATACAAGGTACATTGCTGATCTAGCATCCAACCATCATCTCTCTTTTTTTTTTTTTTTTTTTTTTAGGTCACACCCCATGTCTTTTAAAAGTCCTGGGGGCTGGCCAGTTAGTTCAATAGGTAGAGCTTGGTGCTGATAACACCAAGGTCCAGGGTTCAGATCCCTGTACGGGCCAGCCACCAAAAACAACAACACAAAACAAAAACACCCCACCTATCTTGTGCATTTCCCCAGCATACCAAATATGCTGCATTCCTCATGACTGTATTATGCTGAAGGGCTAAAACATGATTTACCAATCCCCTACTACTGGGCATTTAGGCTATTTCCCAGCAAAAACATCACCACACGTGCATCTTTCTTTTAGCATCTGATAATTGCCTTCGGACAAATTCCCAGAAAAGCTAAAGTCAGACACTTAGCCTGTTGCTAAGGATCTTTATACTTTTATGCCATAGCTCCCAAGAAAGAATGGGCACAGGGAGAATGGGGGCTGAGATTTTTTTCATCTTTTATTCAATCATAGCACACGTACGGAAGAGTGACCAGAAGTGCAGGCTCGCCCACTTTCCATTAACTTGAACAGAGCCGGTGACCAACACCCACACCTGAGACAGACACTGACTGCGGAATCATAACGAGGCAGAAGCCTACTAACCCGACAACGTCTTCGAACCCCTAGCTTATTAATACTTTGGTAAAACCTTCACCACGAAAACACGCAATAAATCCCGACCACAAACGCCTAACAGTCTAAAGCCCGGCTGGGCGAAGGACACAGGACCGCCGTGGCGAGGGGCGCCAGGTAGGGCGCAGACCCCGGGGTCCTCCAGGCTCCCGGCGTGCAGCGCGGCGATCCCGGCGTGCAGCGCGGCGGTCCCGGCGTGCCCCGCGGCGCGCGAGCCAATGACCCCGGCGGCTCGGGGTTGGTGGCGGTAGCGGCGGCGCCGTGGGAGCCTCCTCGTCCGCTGGTGGCCGGGGGCGGCGACGCGAGGGCGACATGGAAGTGTGAGCCGCCTGGGGGCGCGTTCCGGGCTTTGGGCCGAGGCGCGCGGCTGGGGACGGGGTAGCCCTCCTACCGGCCTGTGGGCTGGGCACAGAAGAAAGGGACTGCTGCTCTGCCCTTTAGAGCCTTCGCTGTCCACCCACACGCCGTGCCTGCCACCCGGGGCCGAGTGCCACAGGGTCCCGCTGCCTTCGAATGTGCCTCCTCTCTCCCTCATTCATTTACCAGCGTTTGCTAGGCCGCAGTAGCGGGGAGGCCGGCCTGATATCCGAGCGATGACTTAGGCTGTACAGCCCTGCGTCCGTCCGCCCTGAGGGTGTGGGAGGAGACACGGATGAATCCTGGGATACAGCTGCGCTTGGGGCAGTGGGCTCCTGGGGAGCCCTAACTCGGAAGAGGTGCTGTCTGAGTTTGAAGAGGAGCAGTTAGCCCTGTGAGGGAAGGGGCGGGCTTTCTGGGGAGAAAGAATTGCATGAGCCAGGACTGGGACCACACGGGGTGTGGCGTGTGTGTGCGCGTATAGGACGGAGTAAACGCCATTCTAACAATTCAGCTCCACATGGTCTTTTCCATGTTTGCTCGTTGTACTGCGTGTAAATGGAAGTTTTTGCATCTACTCTGTATGTGAGTTTTTGCATGGTTGACATTAGCTTGCAGGCATACCTTTATTGTGTTCTCTGTGGCTCTGATTACTTAATACGTTTTCTTTTATGTTCTTTTGCCTCACGTACTGCTATTTTTCAGACTTTTTTTTTAATGGAACATGTACATGTAACAAATAAAAGTTTCAAGAAACGATGCTTTTACTGTATGCAGTACACTCTGATATTGTCTGCTCTCTTTTACTAAAAAGAATGTTGACCCACCGAATTAATTTTGCAGCCCGTGGATGGGGTTTAAACTGCAACTTGAAAAACATTCATGTATATTACAGTAGTCCAAGCCATCATCACTAATTTTTCTCTCTTTACTAGAGCATTTTCTGTCAACATATGGAGTGGGTTAGAAATCTTGATTCTCTAGATTTGTAGGTAATCCAGGTATGGAGCTAAAAGGTTCTCGAGTAGGGGGCAATAGTCCACAGATAAGTTTGCCAAAAGCCATCTAATCAATTCTAATTACTGTTTAGGGATGGGATTGTGTACTTTGACTGTTTTAGGTCGCTGATTTGATTCCGGCTTGAAGGACTATTGACTGTTTAACCTACTGATTGTTCTTAAGATATGTTAGGGAAACTACTTAAATGCTGTTTAAATATGCTAAGGAAATTGCTGTAGGAAGAATGTGAAAAAGAAAATGTTTACTAAGGACAAGCTGTTTGTTGGTGGGTCAACTTAGCTTTTTACAAATTGCATTCTGGAATGTCACATTGTTAATTTACTGCTGTTACTAATTTTACACTGCCTGTTTTTATGTCCTTCTTTTTTTGTTTGTTTGTTTGTTTTTGTGACCGGTAAGGGGATCGCAACCCTCCTCACGGTGCAGTTCGCACCACGCTCAGCCAGTGAGCGCACCGGTCATCCCTATATAGGATCCGAACCCGCGGCCTCAGCGCTACCAGCGCCGCACTCTCCTGAGTGAGCCACGGGGCCGGCCAGCGCCGCACTCTCCCGAGTGAGCCACAGGGCCGGCCCCTTTATGTCCTTCTTTGATGATTGAATCAACTGATTTTTCTTGTGAAACTTCCTTGTCTCGTCAATAAAAATAAAGGCGGATTTTGAATCATCACTGCTCCCTTGATGGGCGGCAGTCCCTCCAGGCCTTATTCATATTACCTTGAGTGAATTCTTTCTCTTTTTTTCATCTCCGTTACACAGAGGGAAGTGTAACAAACATACAAACCTGTTTGAATTTATACATCTTTAAAAATCCCTTGACCCCACGTATGTGTCCACCGTTTGCTCCGTTTCTGCTTCCCATCACAACAAAACGTCTTGAAAGTGTCCTTTATCTCCTCATTCTCTCAACCATTCTGTTGGGCTTTCATCCTCACTCATCTACAGAAATGGCTCTTGTGAAAATTACCTGAGCCCTCCATCTTGCCAAATCCAAAGGTTGATTTTTCTGACCTCAACTTTCTTGATCTCTCAGCAGCAATTGAAAGAGAAACTGTCTTGGCTTTGTGACATGTGCTTCTCGATTTCCTCCTACATCAAGGACTACTTCTCAATGTCCTTTCCTGGCTTCCCTTCCTCCCCTGCTTGACATTTAAATATTGAGTTATTTTAGGGCTCAGTCCTGGGACCCTTTCTCTCCACACTCTCTCCCTTGGTTATTTTACCCATCTATATGCTGATGGCTCCCAAAAGTGTATTTCTAATCCTTTTCTCTCATCATCTATCCAGTTGCTTAGACCAAAAATCTAGCCCTCTTTTCTCACCCCTAAATCCAGTTCATCAACCAGACCTGTCATTCTCCACCTTTAGAATGTGTTTTAAATGCAGCTATTTTTCACCATCTCCATCGTTAACAGACAGACGTCCATCATTTTTGGTCTAAACAAGTAGTAGCCTTGGCTGCCACTCCCCCCCCCCCCCCCCCACCCACGCCTGCCATTCTGTTCTTCACACAGTAACCAGAGTGATCTTAAATATTAATTGAATCATGTCACCCCCTAGGTAAAACCATTCCATTGGCTTGTAATTGTACTTAGACGAAATCTACATCCCTTACTAGGACCTACCCTTTATAACCTCACCAAATCCCCAGCCTTATCTCTTGCCACTCTCCCCGCCTCCGAAACACACACACTTTCTACTGACAGTCATGTAGTTCCTCTGACCTTCCAAGTCCTCACCTATCTCAGGACCTTTGTGTTGCTGTTCCCTCTGCCTGGTATACTTTTCCTCCTGCCCTGCTCCCTTCTTCTTTTGATAGCTCAGGTTGAGTGTCCCTTTTCAAAGTTGCTTTTCTCCTTTAGTCAGTCCAAAATGTTCGTCTCTCATAGCACCTTGTTTTTTCTTTCCCCTGAAGTAATTACAAGTTGTAATAATAGATGTGTGTTTACTTGTTTAGTGCCATGAGGGCAGGTACCAATGTGTGTTCACCTAGTGCTTGCCACTGCATCTGGCACACAGTAGGCATTCAGCAGACACTTGTTAAATGAAAAAAATGTAACAATACTTTATTATTTTAATAAATAGAAGTTAATTAGCCAGCATCCTCCTTGCTGGGCATTAGATTTTCTGATTTTCCTAAGTGAAATCGTTTGAATCAAGGGTTTTCACTCCTGTAACAACCTGTCCACTTCTCCTAAGGAGTCAGTGACTTATTGGAACCAATCAAGAATTTTGCAGCTAGCAATTTATGGGAAAATGAGGCTTTCTGAGGTAGACTTGTGGTTTGGGAGTGGAAGGACATCTTGAATGGAAAGTTCTGGAGGCTGAACTTCTGGAGGCCTGTTCTCCAACATGAGATGTGACCTCCGGCAGTCTGGTCCTTAGGATCTTCAGCAGAACCCTGAGTCTCTGAGAGGGCAACCATATTGTACCTCTTTCAGGCACTGCTAGGACCTGAAGTGAAGAGGCACAGGTGGAAAACTCTCCTGAGTTTGTACTATTTTTTCCTTCAGTTATCGAGTGAATACCTGTACACTGGAAATTTCCTAAAGAAGGAATATTTATGCTTTATTTAATTCAATGACAGAATTTTAAAATAAAAGCGTTTTGACTGTCATTTGGGAACTTATTTTTCTCAAGTAAAAGAGCACAAAATATTCATAGCAAAATTATGTATTTTTTGGCCGGCCCGGTGGCTCACTGCTACAGTGTGCCGCTTGGGAAGCGTGGTGGCGCTCCCGCCGAGGGTTCCGATCCCACATACAGACCGGCCTCTCACTGGCTGAGCGAGTTGCGGGAGCAACACCGAGGGTTGCGATCCCGTTGCCGGTCCCGGTCCGGTACGGGCGCGACACTGAGGGTTGCAATCCGTTGCCGGTCACGAAAAAAGACAAAAAGGAAAAAAAAAAAATTATGTATTTCTGGGCCGGGCCCGTGGTGCACTCGGGAAAGTGCGGCGCTGGGAGTGCAGCAGCGCTCCTGCCATGGGTTCGGATCCTATATAGGGATGACCGGTGCACTCACAGCGCTCACTGGCTGAGCACGGTGCGGCCGGTCTCAAAAAGGACAAAAAAAAAAAAAATTATGTATTTCTATATGTAGGTTATTTGCTATTTGGCTAACTTTGTCCAATGCCTTGGGTGCATTTATATGCCTGAAAAGCTTGTGTGCACTCTTTTATTCTTGAAAATGGACACTGTTTACCCTCTGTACCATCTTTTTGTGGTAGTGTCAGGATTTCTTTCATTTAACAGCTGGAAATACTGAGATTCTAAAAAGGTAGGTAGTAGTTACTATAACAATTCAGTAACAGGACTGGAAAGAGGATACTTGTTTGCTTTCTTTCAAGAAAGTGCTACAGGTTAAATTGTTCATTGACTTCTAAGGCTGTCAAGTTTTCTTGTACCAAAGTTTAGTTTTTCAGAACATGAATTGATAGCATAGATGTTGAACATAGGAGAATTTGAGCAATTTTGTTTGTCAATGCATTCGTGAGAGTTAACTGTGTGGCAATTAATAAGCACTGTTTGCATGGGCTTTTTTGGTATGTGTGTGCTCTTAAGAAAAATCTGCCAATAGATCGTTTTGTTCTGTTTATTCAGAATTTGTTTTTCCGAAGTATTTGTTTACATCTGTCAAATTGACTCAGCAAGTTAAGCAAATTTTACAAGTTAAATTTCAAACAGTAAGTCAACGTCAGTCAACTAATTCATTACTTAAGGAAATTAAGTAACTGCTTGCCTGCAGTATAGATTCAGATAGTCTTTAAAATTCAGTTGGGGGTTGGCTGGTTAGAGCTTCATTTGGTTAGAGGGCAGCCTTATAACACCAAGGTCACAGATTCTTACCAGCCAGCTGCCAAAAAGAAAAAATTTTCTTTGAATATTTGCTTTAAATGTCTGTAAACAAAATCAGTACTATATTATTCTAAGTCCTAGGGGGAG